ATATATAGCTAAAATTAATATATAAGTTTTTATTAAAAAAATTAAACTTTTTAATAAAAACATAGGCAAATTTGCCTGTATTACAATTTAAGGGATAAGTTTTGTGTTAAATATAAATTATAGTTAGTTTTTTTTTTTTTTTATTTATAAATTTATTTATTTGTTTATTTTTTAGGCTGCTTTGGCCCTATTTTTGGACCAATTGGTATTCATTACAACAATAACACCTTTGGGCATGTTTAGCCAAACTTGTAAAACCATATAAAAAGACTACAATAAAAATCAAAATGTATTGGAGTGTTGTTAAATGATATTATTTACAACACTTTAACTAGCCTAGGTTAGATTTTCTAGTGTGAACATTTTTCAAAAAAGTAGTACTAGCCCAAAAGGACTGGTTTTCACAAATTCAGACTAGTATTATAAAGCCATGCTAGTAGAGTAACTTCAAGAAAGCGTGGGTCTATGCAGGAGTGAATAATGAAGAACAGACAAAAGTGCATAGTAATAAAAGAAAGAGAAGCATAGATATAGATAATTCAAGTGAACCATACTTTACCAAAGTTTCTTAATAGGTTTGCAGCTATCCTGCTTTTTTCAGAAATCATTTTCTATTATGTAAGCACTTAATAAAGCAGACTGTAAATACACCTAATGGAAAAAGACAATATTTACTTAGAAGTAAGTTTAAACATCATACTATACTGCTATTTCTTATTTTAAAAGACCTCAATAATAATGACAATAATGATAATACATTAGAGACTCTAGCTGTTGCTCAAGTTGCTGAAAACTATGATATTAATAGTTTTTTTGATGGTTATGATGTTAAGGCAGGTGAAGATCTAAATGAAGAAACTTGAACTTATGTAGAATCAAATTAGGAATTATTTGAATAGGCCTTTAGAAGGATCTGTTTAGAAAAAGTAGCTAATAACTGGCAACATGTTAGTGCTATAATGAAATAGAGTAGATTGGTAATAATGAAACAAGACATTCAAAGTGCAGAATGGCGAAGACACCAGCAGGCAACTTTGGGCAACAGAAAATACTAAAAAACCATATCTCATGTATTTGTCACATTTAGAAGAATCAAAATCGGTAGAAGAAGTGGTAGTTGATGAAGACATAGTTGTTAATGAATAGTAAGGTGATAAGGCAGAGCAGAAATAATTAGAATTTTTAAACACTGTACTTTATAATCTAGTTCTTAAGTAAATTCAAATATTTAATAAAAAAAAAAAAAACTTAAGTTTCATATTTCTTTATTAAAGCGTTTAAGCAACCGAACTTTCAAAGAAGTTAAAGAAGGAACTATTAGCTTTTTGTATAAAGTGGGAGGGTACTTGATAACGATAAGGGGATCTTGATTATCTGAAATGTTGATGCTGCGAATTTTGGGGTGGCCGCCCTGGGTAACTCATTGTTTAATTTTTGATTTATTAAATGATAATAAAATATAAATCAAAAAAGATAATTATTGAATGTCTAGCATATTATTATAGTATCTTAAACCCTGGTATATAATAATTTTAAGTTTAGCTCTTTTTTGTCTATACACTTATTACCTTGTATATACTCTTTTCATTGTGTTTCTTTACCTAAAATTATTAAATATTGCATGGGGGTGGCTTTTTAATTTTTTAATAATTTTTCGATCATGCTTAACATTACTCATTGTTTACATATAAATACCGGTTTATAAATTTAATTGGGCGTTCGGATTAAACAATGAATATGAACAGTAAATAGATATGTTCAGTTCATGTACGTACGTCGCAGATTTCAAGAAAAATCCAAAAAAAGCATTGTATGCCGGAGCGCCACTAAGTTATTAGAATAAAGCTACAAAGCTTCTCCCCCTGCGTCGAAAAAAAAATAGACTATGCTATTATTAGTTTTTATACTGTGTTGGGAATTATAAATAAATAGGAACAGTAAAGTTTCTGCATTCTATTTGAAATTACTTGGCGAATTTTTAAAAATAGAAAAACAACATCTGATGTACTGTATATACGTACGTATCAGGTATTAGGGCCCTAAACAGTAAATAGAGTTTCATTACTTATCGATTAAAGATTCAAAATAAGTACTAATGTACGTACGTACGTACAGTACAATATGTATCAATTATAAGCCCAAATGAAGAACCTGGAAATTATTATTGTATTAAACAGTAACCAAAAATAAATAATCAATTTTATATATATATATATATATATGTATAAATCGTTGAATACATTTTTTATTTTATCGCCATACCGATACCCTACTTTTACGAATTAACGTTAATGACTACAAAAAAATTTTCGGATTTTCTTGAAGAAAGTCCAATCCTTAATCCACAACAAACCCGTCGAAAAATTTTATTACCCTATAAACCAAATTCTTCATCATCACTCGAACTTTATCAATGGGCATCTACCAACTATTTTCAGTCTTCATTAGATCATGTATACTTTGTTTCGGTAATAAATATACCACGAATACGCTACCCTGCACCTGATAATGTATGGTCTTTCGGATATCAAAGTAACGTTTCCACAAATTTTGATTATGAAAAGAATCTTCAACGTATAAAGAATGAAGAAAACGCTGTGAAAAATGGTTTAGAAGATATTGTTAATGAATTGAGGTCCAAGAATGTAAGCCAGTTTTTTTTATATTTTTATCGTTATATACAGTATATATATATTTTTTTCAAATAATAATAATAGCCCAAAATTTAGATCACGAGTAGTTTGATAATCAAAAAAGGAAACACGCATAAAGAACTGCTCAGTGCATGTAAATCTATAAAACCTGATGTCATATTGATGAGCCATTCTAACAATGACCATCAACGTCGCAAACTTACCAAATTATTTAAATTATTTGACCGATCAATTGTAAATTTGATGAAAAAGAAATTCCCGAATATACCTATTGTGATTAATGATGATGATGATAATCAGGATAATAGCAAATCTTGTTCGTGCTCAAAATTTTGTTCATCAAATACAGAGAAAGGTGAACGTATACATAAATGTAAAATTTATGACAATCGAACTTCTAAGAAAGGTATGTTTTATTCTGACAGGAGTAATTAATTTGAAGTTTATAAGATTATAATATGTTATTTCGTATTTTTCTTAATAATAATAGGTTTTCATCGTGTATTTAAGAAAGTGAAACGGCAAATGTCACTGAAAAGTTCAATGGAAGACTCTAAACATTATCATCAATTAAGTGAAGGCTGATTATGTATGGCTTTATTCTTTTCTTTAACTTAGTAAAGGCAGGTTGCCTCTTGCTGAGCATATTGCTGAGCATAATGTTAATGGTTCGGTTCGGTTCCAATCTTATTATTTTCATGATACAATAGTAAGATTGATAAAATTCTCATAAGACCATTAACACCATCAGCAGCGATTGAATAATAATGTTATGTCGCATAATTTAATTGTCTATGAATATCAACTTATATTTTTGAAAAATATAGGTTTATTCGTATACTTATAGCTTTATGAAAAACAAAAAAAAAAAACAAAAAAAAAAAGGAAAAAAAAAGAAAAAAAAAGCAAAAAAAAAGGAAAAAAAAAAGAAAAAAGAAAGAAAAAAAAAACTTCTATTTAATTGATACAGTCAACGCTAGGTATAGCGATCCTTTTTATAACGAACACACCTCTTTTTCTCATTTCCTCATAAGTTCGTTATATAAAACTACTATACATACAACGATTCTGAAAATTTTTACTAAGAACTGCCAGCCAGGTTCACTATAAAAAGTGTTGATTGTACTAATAAATTGTAATGATAATAACCTCATTGACATAAATAATTTAATTATAATTATAATATTTCATTTTTTTTCAACATGTTTAATTTACCAAATAAACGCTAGTTTATATCTATCTAATCAATATCAATATTTATTGTTCGGGTCGTAGTGACAATGAGAAGAAATGAAAAAGTTTCTTAGTACAGTCAACTCTCTTTAAACCGAACCTGGATAAACTGAACACTTAATAAACTATGTGAAAACTGAACATAAAGCTTCAGAACATTTGTAAAATTTATTATTAAGTTCGGATTAGCAACATAATAACTCTTTGTAAACTGAACTTTTAAATATTTTTACATATAAGAACCTGCTGTTCGGTTTAAAGAGAGTTGACTGTATATACAATATAATGTTGATTTTTCTTTGGCGAACACATACAATAAATAATTTTGAGCAATATATCAGAATAATCAATACGTACAATTAATTGCGAATATTATTTTTGTAAAAATTAATGTAAAATTGATGTTAGAGATACGATTTATATCCATATAGTTCTGTTGATCGCTACGCAATCTCGGAGTCTTTAATTAGCATTAGCCTAACCTTGGATTAGTCTCGGTTCTCAATTCTTGAAGCTTAAAAGAGTTTTTAATCCAGTATCGATAGGTCATAATCAGTTTGTGAAATGAAGGTTTTACGACGTCTATTTAAAGCTTTCCCTTCAAAATATTTATTGACCAGGTCATTAAAAACTTGGTTTGAAATAAAAGGATATTCTTCTTGGGTTGACATTTTGGGATATGAATCTTTGCAAAACGTAATAATAAATACAATTCAGTTGCATTAAATAGTAGATAAGTTGAATTTCGATACTGTATTAGATTCGGTTGCTATTATTTCAGACAAAGTGGATATTTCAGATTCAACAGTAGTTATTTCAGATAAGCTAGGCATTTTTTTTAAAATGTTTACTATAGACGAACAAGCTAAAGTTCCTTAGTTGTTAGATCAACCGTTTCAACAAATGTTAATAAAAAAACTTGGTTGTTTGGAATTCTTGTTCATATCGACCTTTTTATGTTTTTTGTTAAGATCTGTTGGTTGATAAGAACAATCGTTAAATTTTCGTACAGACTAAACACACCAAAGCATACTGGACATGCTTTCAAGCGAATTCTTAATTTTGGATGTGTTGACATTGTAGTATCGTTCAGAATACATTCGTTATATTACTAATCACTCCCAAATCGCAAGTTTGTCGAATCAGTCAAGTAACCTGATATCCCAAAATTTATGAGCTGATTTGAAAATTAGTGGGACACTTGAAAAAGTTTGCTCGTTTCCGAAATCCTTCGGTTTCGTCTTATGAATCATCTAACTTTTCGGAAATCATATCGCTATTTTCGGACTGAAGTCCCAAAGGTGACATAGTTTCCGAAGATTTACAGTAGATGGTTCATAAAACGAAACCGAAGGGTTTCGAGAAGCAAGCAAATTTTTCAAGTGTCCCACTAAATTTCAACTTAGCTGTAATCAATTTTATAATTCGGTCATCCGGATAACCTAAAAGTTAACTATTTACAATACTTTATAGGTTTGACATCTTTGATTTCACGCACTTAAAGACTAATCACGTGACTTGTCCCATTTTAAATAATAATAATAAAAATGGAACAAGTCACATGTTTTGACTTCTTGCTATTGGTTAATTTCTAAAATTTTTTAATTAATAAAAATTTTAGCCAATTAAATTGTAAAAAATTAAAATTTTAGCCAATCAAAATGCAGAAAACTGCAAAAGCATTAAAATTTTTTAAACGGAAAGTCTACGGACACATCTTCCCCAGTATCGCCGTAAAAATTTTACTGTCACGTGATCGTGCCAAAAATCTTTAAGTTCATTTAGGTTAGGGTTAGGGTCCGCGCTAAGGT